AAGAGGGCCTATAAAATTACAACGGACTCGAAGGTCCAAAATAAATAAGAGCTCGCAGGACTATAAAACAACAAGAATAAAACTAACCATTCAACATATCCACATGGTCGAGTCCATAATCGTCCACTAATAAAACATTCATCATATAAAGGATTTCCTATATAATATCTAATATTATATGCAAACATATTTCAAATTTCTAGTAATTAAGGCCGTCTAAACTAATTTAGACAAATGGGTCGGAACAATTAATCTAATTAATTAAAATAGCAAATTTATTTAAATAAAATCATATTTTAATTAAATACCGAATTAGAGTCCAACTCTAATTTCAAAATTTAATACGGTTGAATTTAATTAAATACAAAAATAACAGTCAAACTCTAATTCCAAGATATTATGGCAAACTTATTTAATTAAAATCAAAATTTAAATAAATATTAAATTAGAGTCCAACTCGAATTTCAAAATTTTAAGGAGAGCAATTTAATTAAAATTAAATTCTAATTAAATATTAAATTAGAGTCCAACTCTAATTTCAAGAATATATTAGGGTGAGATAATTTAATTAAAATCAAATTTTAATTAAATACGAAATTAGAATCCAACTCTAATTACAATTGAATCAATATTTCAATTTAGGATAAAACTCCTAAATAAAATAAAATTCAATTTATGGTCAAAATTTAATATTTAAATTAAAATATAATTTTAACGAAAATATAAAAGTTGTCAATCTTAAAAAAAAAAATTAATTTGGGTCCAAATGATAATAATGGGTCAAAACTCATTGAAAAAAAAAATTAAAACCGTTTCAAATATTTAAATTCAAAACTCTTTTCGAAAATTGCAAGATGGCCCTTATTTTAAAATTATAAACAGGCCCCTCAATTTCTCAATTGGAAAAAGACCTTTTTTTTCTAATAATTGCACATTGACCCCTTAATCTTAATTGCATGCGAGGCTTTGCCTCCAGCAGAAACCATCCAACTGAAACCCTAGAAAAATCGCCTTCTCTTTTCTTGGCTTCGGGGGATGATAGCCTCACACGGCCACTACACCGACACAGGTGAGTGCTAGTGCTGCAAAAATAGCAATATGTCCATTGATGCTACTATTAGAAACAACGCCCGGTGCAGTAAGCCTCTTGGCGGTTGTAGCGCCCCGAGGAAGAAGCAGTTGGTGAATGGCAGCAGCGCCGAGCACTGCAATCTTCAGCAGCAGAGGTGACGGTCGTACTGACAGTGTAGCACTACATAGCGCACCGATAGTGTAGCACAGCGTGCCACCTTCTACCAGGTTAGCGGCAGCTGTTGTCGCCTACTGCAACTTTTGATTGTTCAAACATGCAAAACAGTTTCTAACAAACACAAAGTAGGCTCTGATACCATTGTTTGGAATTTACTTAACATTTACAGCGGAAAATAAATTATTTTTCAATTCCCACCAAAGATTTGCTTGTACTCAGAGAGAAATTGCGATAGAAATTATACATTTTATGAATTCTGTAAACTCTTTTCCTGTTTTTCGAACACAAATTGCAATCCACAATTATCCAATTGTCCAACCTCCAATGAAAATCTACACAGAAAACAAGAGCAAGAACTAGAGTTTTTTTTTCTTGTGCTAGTAAGAATAATAATTTTGTATGTATTTTCAAACCCAAGCAGCCTATTAATAGAAGTCTAAGTGGGGTCAACCCGTCTCTTAAAGTTAACCTGGTCCAATATTTAATTAATCCAATTAATTAAATTTTGTCCATGAATTAATTAATTCGAGCCTATTAACAAGCAAATAAAAATTAATTGTACAACATTTGTTGATTGATTAATTGGTGAATCACATTCTTCTATTCTCCTTTTGTGTGTGACCCATCAGGTTCCTGATCATGATACCTAACGACGTGAATTATTATTTTGATATAATCGAAATTGATAAATTAAAATACCTCTTTTAATTTATTACCAATTCACATTCGTCGTAGTAGATTGACAACTAGCAATGTGTCAGGGCAATACATGTGACGAGAAATGTCACATGGTATGACAAAACCAAACTTGTTCGTTTACCGTGAAACTATAATCCTTTCGTCAATGTGATCCAATTAATTACGAGATATAGATATGTGTCAATCTGAATTATTGATCATATCTTCTATCCCACTATTAAGTCAATGTAAGTCGAAAACTCATTTTTTGACTTATGAGCTCACATTGGCCAATGATTTCATTATCAAGTTAACTGGATAAAATGTAGATCATAATTTCTTACTATCTACGAGTGACGAATCCTTTATTGATCATTCACAACCTTCATATGATTCTTGACATACCCGAACGATGCTGTATTAGCGACCCTTGACAGAGCAACATTCAACACCACCAAAGTATGACTACCCTCATATAAGGTACTATGATGACCTCAAGTCAAATGACCAATTCCACTACTGAACGTTGGAAATTAACCACTAACACTTAGATAGTTATCCATGTAGAATCTCACAGCGAGTCTCCAATATTTTGTTCTATAACAAAGCATACACGTGTTCATTCAAGTGTCACCACACTTTAACTTGTGAGATCAGCTACTTACTTCACAAATAAGAATGCCACACGCGATGGTCTATCCGTAATAACGATATCCGTATCTCGTTATTATTTCGACCACAGACGATTTAAGATTCAGTCATATGTAATTTGTATCTCACAATCACAACTCCTTGTGATTAACAAATCACCAAGACTTGAATCTACGGATTCTATTATTTAATTTATTAGAATATTGATTCAATTAANTAAGATTCAGTCATATGTAATTTGTATCTCACAATCACAACTCCTTGTGATTAACAAATCACCAAAACTTGAATCTACGGATTCTGTTATTTAATTTATTAGAATATTAATTCAATTAAATAATAGATATTGTCATAGATATGCATCGAATATATATTTAAAGTGTTTATGTCCAAATTTGATTGGACCTATGGCATAACACCTACACAAGATGCCAACGAAAAGTGAGATAATGGGTCTCACAAAGGGACTAAACACGGAAGGCAACAAACAGGGCACAAGGAGAAGCAGACGAAATATCTCGAGCTGTGTGTGGCATCTATTCATATCATAAAAGGGGGGCCAACATATATAGTAGCAACTTAGTTCAACTAATTGGGCCCTGAATGTCATATTTGGTTCAACTTTTTTTGTGAGTTACCAGTTGTGAGTTTTGGGCCAACTATTTAAAATAGTCTCAACAATCGGTTCCAAACGAACCATATGATTTTAATCTGATCCGGCGAGTCATCAACGTCCCGGATTTATTTGGTATGAAAATACTCAACAAACTTCCACCTTAATACCAAATACACTTGCAAAAGGAAGGAAAAAAAAAAAAAAAAAGCTAGTTTAATAGTCGCACAACGTGATTTCAAAAAGAATTGAAACAGCATATACCTTTACTAATGTTTAAAAGTATAAGACAACTTTTAAATTTTATCAGGGGAAACACTCTAGTGTCCATATCAGTAGGGTCATAATCTGAACACACTTTCTCAAGTTTTATCAAATCTTGAAACACTATATCTCTAATAAAATGCTGCCTAACATCTATATATTTAATGCATTCATGAAACACATGATTGTTACACCAATGAATAGCAGATTGACTATAAGCGTATACTATAGCATTATTTCTTAAAACACCCAATTCATTGAGTAAACATTTAAACCACAAAGCTTCTATGGCAGCAATATACTCAAATTCAATGGTAACTATATGTTGAAGTTGAGAATTCCAACTCACACAAGAGTCGCACAAAGTAAACACATAAGAGGAAGTAGATTTCCTATTATTTCTATCACCACTATAGTTAGCATATGTAAAACCTTTAAATTTCACACCCTTATTAGCAGATTTATAAACTAATCCCCCATCAAAAGATACCGTTGAAGTACCTAAGCAACTACATTAAAGCTTTCCAATATTTGGGACCAGGATTAAAAATGTACCTACTTAACATACTCACAGTGAAAGCCAAATCAGGTCCAGTACAGACCATAAGGTACATAACGGAGTCAATGACATTTGAATAAGCAATATTATTGATAAATTCTCTATCTTAATCATTAGCAGATGATTATTATTATTATTTTTTGATAAAATTCAATAGTTTCCAAGAGGTACAAAAGTAGGTTTGCAATCAAGCATACTAATTTTTTTCAAAACTTTAAGCACGTAAAGAGTTTGATGCACTTACAAGCAAGAATTAGAACTATCCCGATTAATCTCCACACCAAGGATCCTCCTAATATGTCATAGGTCTTTCATGTCAAATTCTTTCACTAACGCCATTTTAATCTTGTTTACCACCTTCATGTTGGGTCCAATCAACAACATGTCGTCTATATAAAGTAAAAAATACACACACTCTTTATTAGTGTTATGATGCATGTAATACAAGTAATGTTCAAACTCACTCATCTTGAAACCAATAGAAAACACATAAGAATCAAACTTTTTGTACTACGACGCGGAGACTGTTTTAGCCCATAAAGATATTTCTTTAAAAAACACACACAGTTAGATTTAACTTATATTCAAAACATTTAGGTTGATCCATAAAAATCTATTCATTAAGGTCAACAAGTAAAAAAAAAAAACTGTTTTGACATCAAGTTGTTCAAGTTCCCAATCACAGTAAGCAACAAAAGCAAGTATGACCCTAATAGTGGTATACTTAATAACTGACAAAAAAGATCTCATTATAATCAATCCCATTTGCGTGTACCCCTGACTACTTAACTAGCCTTTCATCTCATGGGATCACTCTCAATGGTTCCCTCTTTAATTTTATAAACCCACATGCATCCTACTATGGATTTATCCTTAGCTCTAAGAACTAAATCCCAAATTTGATTATAGGCAAGACAACTCATCTCTTCTCTCATGGCATCTAGTCACTTCTTACTTTGTTCACTCCTTATAGCCTCCTCAAAGGTATTTAACTCCTTATCAACTAGTTCTTGATAACTAGTATAGGATATGATATAGTTAGACATACTGTGGGGTTCCCTATGTGGTCTCATCTTTCTATCTCTAGCTAATTGATAATGAGCTAAAGGGTTTTGGTCGATAGGGTTGTCCTCAATAATTTTCTCATCACCTTCTCAGTTCTAACTCTATATTCTGTTGATTTTGTGTATTGCTCTCCACCTCGTTCGAGGTAATGGGGATGTGAACACTGACTTGCTCCACCTTAACTGAGAACTCTTTCCTAATAGTTTCTTGTTGTTTTTCACTCTCTTTGCAAGGCACTCGGACTAATTAAATAAGACATCGGGACTTATGATTATTACCACGTCCTTCTAGCTTCTATCCCATAACCTATATCTCTTAACTCCCTCAAGGTAGCCTAAGAAAACACACTTCTTAGTTTTAGGTTCTAATTTTCTCTTACTTATACACTACAACAAAAACAGTATTTTGCAATGGTTAAAAAAGCTGTAAAAGACCTTTCACAACGTTCGGGCATATGTTACGGGCTTTGATGTTGCCGTAGATTTGAAGGATACGATAGCGTTCAAAAAAGTTGCAAAAAGTCTTTAAAAAATGTTGTTAACTTTTTACAATGTTCTTTACCTGCTGCCTTTACATATTTTTGCAACATTTGCTGACCGTTGCCTATGCACTTTTTGCAACATTCATTGATTGTTGCATTTGTACTTTTTGTAACATTCAGTGAAAGTTGCCTTCGCTTTTGTTTTCATGTTTTGGCAAAAAAAATTGCACGTTGTCTTTACTTTTGTTCATTTTTTGCAACATTTTTTGGCTATTGTCATAGGCCATTCTACATTTTTTTTTTTTTTGCTACAACAATTTACGCAAATTGGCCTACCGAAATTAAAAATTTACTTTGGACTGCAAAAAAAAAAAAAAAAATTATTATGAATTGGACCCCATACACTTAAAACATAGAGTAAACTTTTGTACAATAAAATTGGATTTTGTGTTACATGAATTGAAGAGTATGAAACAGAACTGCATAACGAAGAACTAGAGCAACTTTTCATTTCACATATGTGAATGATCCAGCAATAGGTCCATCGCCAACACTACAAGCTAAAAGTTTTCTAATTCAGATTTATAGTTATATATTTATATACAAATAGACAATATCAAGTAGATTGAAGTGTACCATTGTTTGCTTTTCCCAACCACAGACGCAATGGGGTGATGATATGTGAGAGGA